TATTAAGCCCACCTCGGGCCCAGACCAAAGTGGGCTTAATAAGCGGCTGGGCTTATTAAGCGTGGGCTTAGTAACCGGCGACTACTGTATACGACTCGTGCTGAGTACTGGCTTGGTTTCCCTTTTATTTGTTCTCAGTAGCTAGTCTTCTGTTAATAGTTTTAACATTTCCCGACGGATTCTTGGCAAACACAACGTACTAAAACATGCCATATTTTATCAGTGACTGCGTATTTTTGTTAAGCCTTATCGTCCAGCGTGTGTGTTCCCTGCAGCATTTCGCTAGTAAGGATGACTTGCATGGCCGCCTAATCAGGGCATGGGAATAGGAACGCTCCGCCCACTTAAAATAGGTAGCCTTGCAATTCATTTCAGGCAGGGTAACTCTTCCCGGATGTTGACTTCAAGATAACACTAAACTGTAACTTTAAACTTAAGTCTAGCCCTACCGTAAAATCGCTACAGTTAACAGGAACCCAAACCTTGACTTTTAACATAATCCTGACCCCAATACCAGCCCTCACCTTAATCTTAAATATTATTTCCCGGGAATTGGTCACAAAGCCACGTGTATTGCGGGCGTTTCCTGTTCCGTAGGCTCCGGTAAAGATGACATGTATGACCGCCTAAACAGGGCACGGGAACAGGAAGCGCCCCGTCCACCTAAAATAGGTGGCCTTGCGATAAATTTCAGGGAGGGTACCTCTTCCTGTGTCTTAACTCCAACAGTAAGCTTAACATAAAACAAAACTGTAGCCTTAATCGTAAACCTTGCCCCACCCCCTAAACCTAAGCCCCCCACAGTTAGCACGAACCCAAACCTTAACCCCTATCATAAACTTGACCTTCACCCCAACTTTGACTTTAAACCCAACCTTAAACCTAACTCTAAACGTAACCCTAACTCCCACCTTTATCGTCGCTCTAATTTTCATGGGATTTAGTGCACAGTCACATGTATTGTGAGTGGTTATCGTTTCCGTTTCCCGTTTAGGCGACCACGGGAAGATGTGTCCGACTCTTGGACGGCTGTTTTTGTATGTTGCGGTTGGGCGGCGTGGCATTCGCATGGGCCACGATGAAGACTGACACCTAATTTAAAGTCGCAGCTCACTCGACGGGATACGATAGGGTTCTCAACTTCGACAAGGTCAAAACTCTCTGACAGTCACGCGAGCCGCGAGCTGTCTGGTTTGTAGTTCTCAGTCCATCAACAAGGGTAATGACTTATTCAGTCCTAAGACGTTTCCTGGGCGGAGATGCTTAGTCGAGCGAGTGAATGAGACTGTCGATGCTATGACCAATTGGCCAAATTGCCGAGTACTTATCATATCAATTATCAGCACCGGTGGTGAAATCGCGGCGGGGAATGACTCGGACGTAGGTAAGCAAGCCATCATCGCATCGCGTGCATCTGTCTGTGGGGGACCTGGACGCTGCTAGTTTTGCTAAGTATGTGGTTGTATCTCATGGACACTGTACACACTTTGTGCTGCGTTATCTGCCATTGTCTCTGGTGATGACCTCGAGTGGGAATCTGAACTGTCAGGCGCGTAGGCTCCGTGTCTCAACAATCGTGTCTCCTCTTCGACTTTCCGAAAACGACCGTTTCCCCCGTGTCGATACCGACACCTGTTTCTAGAAATTTCGAGCTCATTTTCCGTTCAGAGTGTACACTGTAGTATGTCCGCCGTTATTGGCACCGACTAACCGTTCTGCCCTTCTTAGCTGTTGGATGTTTACTGACTGACAGGGGCGATGTCTGCCAATTCCACTATGCGTTTGTTGGTTGCCTCCGTTTGGGACCAATTGCTCGGATTATGCAGGAGCGATACCTTGATCCACGTTGCCCTAACCATTGAGCCACGGATTCGTCCTGTCGGTTGTGATCGGGAATACTAAAAAGTGCAAAAGGGCAATTACCGATCGCTTTATGGGACTCGAGATTGAGTCCCCAGACACTACAGAACGAGTATTTCCCGTATCGCGTTTGCTAAACACCCCCCTAGTCGGCAGGATTCCGTGGCACTAGACTTTCAACCAACCGATCGCGAGTTCAAGCCTCAGAAGTTGCAAATCATGGAATTGGTTGCAACTGGCTGATGACTGCTAATAAGTCGGAAATGATCATTCGACAGTGGCCATTCGTAGTCTTTGTCGGTAATGGTTTTCTGCGTAGCCACCATAGCTAGCTTGATGTTTCCTCAACCCAAATAGCGACTAGACAAGGAAGAAGACGTTTCCAGCGCCGGATCAATGGGTTTATTGCCTTGAGCTTTCGAACTCTTACAGGATTCCATCTTCAGAGATGAAAAGCAACAACCAAAAGGAGGGCAATCATAGTTGCCATAGGCCAATCAACTGTCAGAAGTCATCAGGTTGTTAAAGCGTTAGAAACAACAATCAAGAAGGATGCGGGGGCAATTATAATGGTGTACGCTAATAAGCTATAAGTGGAGCCTGCAATTATAGTGGAGTACGCTAATTAGCTGTCAGTGGAGTCGGGGGCCATGAACAGTAATTAGTGTGAGAGGAAGACGACTCGATCGCTGGGACAATACTTTTATTTGCTTTGTATTGTCCCAGCGATCGAGTCGTCTTCTTCTCAATTATTTCCCGGGACTCGCATGTTCGCTTGTATTAGTAATTAGTGTGGCGCGACTTCTGCCAGCGTTTCGTTAGTTGTTTTTTAGTTCTGTCAAACTGGATGCAACATGCCCTTTAATATATGACAGTTATTCACAGGAATTCGAGTTGGCGCAGATTATTTTAGAATGCATTAGACTCCGCTACACTTCCCTTGCAAGTAGGATTATGTATAAATATCAGTCCTGCTGCGTCCAGTGTGGACTAAGTTTCCCAAACCCATCAATCCCCCGTTGGCTTCAACAATTCAGTCCAGCCAACACACGCATGTTTTACAGTAAACTATCCTGTTAGAACTATATAGGTTCCTTATAGCTTGTCGGCTGGTTGGACGAAGTGGCATTAATTTATTGAGCTCGTACGAATCAGAAGAACTGCAAGCCGTAGGGGGATACAGTTATTCGGGTGCTTATCGTTCTTGTGGTTTTGAAAAGCCGCAGGAAGGGCGTATAACTAGACTGAAGGAAGATGGCTTTCCTGCCCATTTGCTTGCAAACTCACATCACGAAACACGGTGGTCTCGTCACGACGTTCTTGTATGCACACGATGCCAGTTTTAATAGCCCGGTTGCTGTTTCCCCGCCTGCCTCTATCTCTCCATTTCCCAATGAAAATGCATTAAAATACGCATTTTATTTAAAATATCTTACTAATTTACGCAAAACTCCGCCTATTCCGCTTTTTGTTAAACCATGAAGTGAATGCTTGTTGCTGTTTCCTAGTAAAGAATTAATGCAGTCTGTGTCAACGGAGTTCTTGCAGCCTCTAGGTGACGACCTTTCGGAGACGAAAAGACGTCCTGTTGGCAGTTTGCACTGGTTGTCAAGACTAAACCGAGCTTAAGATAGAAAAGATCCACCTGCCTACCTTCGTGGACAAAATGCTCATCACCAGTAAGCCGAATTTGCAATCAGTATCGTTTCCGCTGACCAAGCCATTGTCCTCCACAGATGCTGGGGGTGAGCGCACGCTTGCCTCGTCGAGCCCCCAATGAACGCGTTATTCAGACAGACAGGTCATGACCTCCACCCGAGGGCACAAGTCATCTTGCATACAAGGTTAACCAGTCTGAACAAGCGGGCATTCTCCGGTAATTGCGAACGTTTTTATCCGGTAGCGTAAAGGAGTCAGTGTTGAAGCTACCCCGTTTTCCCACCCCCTCCCCCCTAAACCGCATTTTGCACTTCAAATCTCCTCTTTTTTTAATTACTTTAACTCTGCGACATCTACCTGCAGCTGCTTCATCTCTTTATCTTTCTATTAAAGGTGTCGATAGCCTCTGTGGATGAACGCTCGTCGCAACGATCCCTCTCGTCATCCGAAACCCCCACGTCCACTCCGGCTATTCAACCCTCCTCCGCCCCTATGCAGTTTGCTAGCAGTCTTGAATACCTACAGGCACGTAAGCACTCGGACTTTTCCTTCCCTGCGGATTATCGCGAAACCTTTTTAGCAAAGCAGACCACCATGCGTGTATATTGAATACCTCTGCTCCGTGCAGTTTTTTTAACCGTTTTGGCTAGCTTTACGGGCCTGCCCGTCAGCAGCACTCGGACCTCCCGTTCGCTCGGTTCATCGCGAGGCCTTTTTAGCAACACTGACCAGCATGCGTGCGCCTTAAATATTCCCTCCGCAAGTCAATTCAGATCTCTGTCTTGTTTACCGTCTGACTCCTAACAGCAGACATAGCAATGAATCCTAAATAAATACTATCAGAACATGTAAATACAGCAGTTGGTATACCTGAGAAAA